CCCCAAAACCCCAAAACCCCAAAACCCCAGTAAACAGATTCTTAAAGCAAAGAGTTAATCACAACTAATAATAAAAAGTATATATATTTAATTTGGATACTTATTAATTATCATTATAATAATATGAACGAAGCATTATTAAAAAAGGATTCAGGGGGCAATCGGGGATCTGATAATTCAATAAACGGAGGAAACCCTGATGAATTCGATTCTCCTAAGGGCAATCAGCCGATTGTTTTTTAGCCTTAAGATTAAAACATGCTTAAAAATCTACAGAACTAAGATCAAATCTAATATGATTATGTAGATCATGATGAGGAGCAAAAGCTGTAGTAGAAAATTAAACCTGCTGGAGAAATTAATCAACAGAATGAAGAGTTAAAGTAAGGATACGAGTATTAGATTTATGACTAAGACGAGGAAATGATGAAATTCTTTGAAGAAAATTACTAAAGTCCCAGCAGTGAAAATCAAATTAGACAAACTCTCTCTAAAGGTATTCTACAAATTATGTCTCGGAGACTATCTGAAATGAACGGCGCATAAAAAGATGAAGTCAAGCAAGAGGCAAATATTTTTGACACTCTGGAGATAATTTCAGAACAAGAACTGTTAAAGGATGAGGGAGAAGAAGAATCTATGTAAGATGCTAATTATTGGCCTTAGGATGCTAAGAATGGACTCTCATATTCAAAAATGAAATATGTTATTGAAACGAGACATCCTAGAAGAGTTAGAAAAGGCAAAAGAATCCCTTATTCTTGGTGTGGATCTAATACAGGCTGGCATTGTGTCTGCAAAAGTTGTAAGCACTCAGACCTCAGAGAAATGGGAGTAGGAGTGACTGTTTATTTCAAGATGCTGAAATTCCTGATGATACTCTTCCTTTGGTTTTCGTTTCTTAGCCTTCCTGCTTATCTGTTTTACTACAATGGGAATGAGGTTTCATATGATAAATTAACATTAAAGTATTTTCTCTCTGCCTTCTCGCTAGGCAATATTGGCTAAGCTTCAAACACCTGCAACTATGGAGATATAAGATTGTAAGAGAAAATAAATTTCTTCTGTTCTTACGGCTAACTTGAGAGAATCTATGTCTATGGTCTCTCTACAAAGAATTCTTAATGCCCTTCTGACTTTAGTCAGGACCTTGATGTTGATTCTAAGTGCAACTTTTAGGGAATGGGTAATAAATATGAGAGTTAGCTTAACGACAGATTTGAAAATGAATGCAGTGGCAAAAATCAATGCTAATTCTAGCTTCTGAAAACTGACTTCAATGCTTAATGTAATTAGGAGATTGACAAAAGAGCTCTTGATCCAAGTGGATTGAAACCTTAAATTTATGCTGAAGCACTTTGCCAAAATCTTTAAGTTCCAATCCCATTTACTAAATATAAAATCGAAAGATCATATCTTGCTGTTGTAATAGTAGTATTTGATATTTTGATTATCCTCTCCTATATTATGGCTATCTCAATGTAATATATAAAAACTTTAATCTTAATCTAATAATAGTCTTGAGAAGTATGAAAAAGAAGAAGATAAATTTGTAAACAGAAAGTCCTTAAAGACGGAAGATTTTTCAGTAAGTATAAAGAAGCTACCCCCATCAGCTGGGTTCAAAAATCTCAAGGAATACAAAGCACTTCTCTGGGATCATTTAGAGAATGTGGTTGCTAGAGAGAAGTAAGTGATTACAAGACTAGAGGGTTAGCAGTAGGATAATGTAAATTTCAAAGAAATCGTCAACATTTATTTTGGAATGACTAGCTACAGCAACATGAAGATCCTTCTGGAAGTTTACAACGATATTAAGGAACTAGTATTTCTAGAGACTAAGATGAAAAAAGACAAGAAGAAAAGAAAGAAGAGCTACATTAGAAAGATCGAAAAGAAAAACACAGTAATCGATATAAAGTTGAGATTGATTAAGGATTTGAAGCTGAATGAGTAGGACAAGACTAACAAGATTGTTAATGCATATGTCGTATTTAGGTCAATGGAGGGCAGATAGAGAGTAAGTATAAATATATTAAATTTATAATACTTATTGTAGGCTTTGCAAGCATATGAGGATGGCTATTTGACAAGACTCTTTGGGAAATATCTATGTTGTAAATACTGGGATTACAAATAGAAGAAATTTTTAGACAAATGGATTAAAGTGAAACCAGCTAAATCACCAGACATTATTCTGTGGCAGAACTTGAAAGTAGGAAACTGCCAAAGATTCGGGCGCATTATGATAATAACTTTTGTCACTCTGATTCTAATGATAATCACATTTTTGATACTGATCATAGCAAAGAAATTTGAGAACCAAGCTGAGGAATACTCTCCTTAGATTGATTGTCCTGATACCGAAGTGAGTTAGTAAGATGCCTATTTAGATCAGTAAAAAGATGCAGTTAACAGAATCGGGCTAATGCATTGCTACTGTCTCAATTAATTCTACAAGATAAACATAGGTGTGAAGGACATTTAGTTCTAAGATGGAAAGGAATATTGTAATGACTGGCTTAAAAAGTATACTCTCGCTAATAGCTTTGTATTCATAGTAGCTTTCGGCATTGCCGTCATCAATATCATTGTAAAGACCATAATGAGAAGTAACTTTCATATATTATATTTGTATAGTCATATCTAAGTTTGAGCAGTTTCACACAAAGACTGAGGAAATATTCTCTAGCATGGTCAAGATGTTCATAGTTTCCTTCATTAATACTGTAATAATTATTGGTCTAATCAAGAATAGGGCATTGTGATCTTCGTAGTAAATGTTGACTTTGGCTTGAATTTCTCAGCTATTCCAGTTTTCCAAGGCAAATACAAAGAATTCACTGTGGAATGGTATAGAGTCGTTGGAACTACTATTGTAAATATCATATCTATTATACAACTTATAGTCAATTACTATGCTTATCAACACAGTGACTCCACACATTACTAATTCTATATATCTAATGCTTATGTCTTTAAAGAGATGCAAAGATCGAGGATGTAAATGCAGCAGAAGATACACAAAGCAGATCCTACAGAGTGAATATGAAAATGTTAACACTGGCTCTGAATTCTTGATGGAGTTCAGATATTCTTCTATTCTTGCTCAGCTATATATAATTCTCATGTATTCTCCTGGAATGCCTCTACTCTATTTAATAGCATTTGCTAGTTTCTTTTTGACTTATTGGTTTGACAAATTCTTCTGTAAAATCTCAGTATTGTGCTTAATATTTTATAGTATTGAAATGCTACAGGAAGCCACCTTCTCACACTATTGATCTTTCTTCATCAACTGTTTCTTTGATGTATTACGCCCTTGTTTTCCACTTTATCATTGGATTGTACATGTACTCCAATATCACTATCCTCACTCCGACTGATTTTATTAATGACTTATTCGATTACATTACTTTTGATACGGTGACATTTGACTTGCGCAGATTTTAGAACTGGCACTGTGTCTTATTTATTATGACATTTGGCTTGATTTTCACTGCTTTTCTGATAAGGAACACTTTCTTCAGATTGATGTGCTGTTTTTGCAGGATTTGCAAAAAGCAGTACAAGTACAATGATAAGTACGATGTCATTTCTGATGACTATCTCAAGGAACTGAATTTCATGCAACTCTTTAAAGAGTTTAAGAGAACCAGGTAAGAAGTTCTTGATTATTAAGAGGACTTGAATGCTGGAAAGATCAATGAAAAAGTCAGACCAGCAGTCATCAAGCATATAGCTAGACTTGATCACAAAATAGTAGAGATTAATAAAGTCTTCCTTGAGCTCTTCTAGAAGTACGGCATCATCAATCCTGAGGAAGATGGTAAATAGATGACTGACTTTGGCAAAGCATTCTAAATTGCTTTGAGGAAAACAATGGCTGTGAAGGTTTAAAACAGACTTTAGAGTGCTATTTGTACCTATGATATCCAAGATAACGATTTTTACAATGGAGTGTATGAAGTTGAGAACTATATTAGATCTAAGGAGAAGTAGTAGTAAGTTAATGAATAATAGCATTTGCTTGAGGAAGATGAGTAGAAGGCATAACCTTGAAAATCATATCATGCTAATAAATTTGAAATTCTATCTTATGATTATTTGACAAGAGGAATATTATAATTATGATTTGATTTAGATTATTTTAATGAGAACTAAATGAATTAAAATAAGATGAATGGGGTTTTGGGGTTTTGGGG